AGCGATTTTTTGATTAATATTGCAATTGCAAGTGCACTGGTAACAACATTGTGGTGCATTGTGGGACATGTAGTTGATGGTGGTACTACTCTAAATTGGCGTAGAAGTATGTGATAACCAAATAACATCTTTGCAAAGCCTTGGATTTGACACGTATGCTTTCATCTAGTCACCAGTAGCCTACCATTGGAGGAGCAAGCGTCTTATATATGTAGTGACCCTTGATCAGATCACCTTTTACAGTCATGACATGCAAACAGCATGGGAAAGCTATATATGCACACAGATAAGAACAGCTTTTATAGTTTTATATATGGCAATGCAGAGAGGACAGACAGTCAGACAGTCAGGAACAGGAAGCTGCAGTTGCTGAAAGAGATAAGAAATCTGGGTGTTGTAATATTTGTGAGGAAGTTATTTCTAACTTTGTACACCTGTTCTGATATCCGATCCCTTTTGTGTTTGTCAAACGTAATGAGATAAAGAGATTAAACATAACTTCACTAAATGATTGATTTATCCTCAGCTTCCTGTTAAGCTTGTGTCGCTGGGCCATGATCGATATTGTGTAGAGTTAATGAAGTATTGTATTAGAGAGCCACCCCTTGCATGTAATGAGTGTAATGACAAATGAAGTCAGGCATTATGATGACAGAAAATACCGTAGTGACTTACTGNAATTCATTTCTACGAGGAAAACTCATTGTTACTTTTAGTCTAACGTAGGGCTGCTCAATATAGTATTTTAATCGCAATTACGATTATGGCTTGCAACGATTACGAAAACAACGTAATCGAAATGAAACGATTATTATTTTTATTTTTTATATTTGGGTATTAGGGTAATCAACTATTAAAAACATACTGTTAAAAACAAATTTTCTCCAATAAATTGATGTTTTCAAAGTAAATGGATAATCGTTTTTAATAATCGTGATATCAATTATTGACCCAAATAATCGAGATTATGATTTTTGCCCTAATCGAGCAGCCCTACTCTAACGTCATTTGAATCAAACAGAGCAGCTTGGATCTATGTCTCTGATACTCATTGCCATAAATAATATCTCTGTAATACATTTTCTATTTGTTGATGATTATAATAATAACAGTAGAGTTGTGCTGAATGATTTCCAGTGGTGGAAGAAGTACTCACATTTTATACATAGTTTATACATTTATTTTATACACAGATTTTATACATATTTACATCACTATGCCACACTTGCACTTTTATTGGCTAGCGCTACAGCACATTGTACGTGATAGGCTAAGGGGCGGGACATCTCTAAGCTGGTTGACCAATCACAACAGAGCCGGCCAGCTAACCAATCAGAGCGGACTGGGCTCTGGTTTCAGACAGAGGGTGAAAAGAGGTGCTGCAGCAGTATGAGAAAAATAAAGAGCTTTTTGAACATTAAAGCATGGAGACATGAAGTAGAGACAATACATACTGATATACACCTGAACATCAGCAGGAGAGGACTCTTTAAAGTAGAGACACTACATACTGATATACACCTGAACATCAGCAGGAGAGGACTCTTTAAAGTAGAGACACTACATACTGATATACACCTGAACATCAGCAGGAGAGGACTCTTTAAAGTAGAGACACTACATACTGATATACACCTGAACATCAGCAGGAGAGGACTCTTTAAAGTAGAGACACTACATACTGATATACACCTGAACATCAGCAGGAGAGGACTCTTTAAAGTAGAGACACTACATACTGATATACACCTGAACATCAGCAGGAGAGGACTCTTTAAAGTAGAGACACTACATACTGATATACACCTGAACATCAGCAGGAGAGGACTCTTTAAAGTAGAGACACTACATACTGATATACACCTGAACATCAGCAGGAGAGGACTCTTTAAAGTAGAGACACTACCTACTGATATACACCTGAACTGAACATCAGCAGAATCTGTCCTCTTTAGGAGTACTAACCCTTTTTAGAATGATATACAAATATGGAGTTCATTTTAATAACTTTATTTTTGTATTTATAGTTTGTATTAGCTATTAATCTGAATATGTATAAGTAACTAAAGCTGTCAGATAAATGTAGTGAAGTAAAAAAATACAATATTGGCTTTTATCACTCTATGCTACTTTCAAATGTAGTGTGGAAATAGCATAGAGTGATAACACTCAAAATGGCCTTTAAGTTAAACAGTGATGGTACATTTACTCCATTACGTTCCACAACAGGTGATTTCCTGGCCTGTCTTTGTCTCACTCGGCTCTACAGTGAGACTTAAGTTCAAGGCTGCAGGCTGTGTTTGTTGACTCTGCATTGATCCTGATGACTGATATCAGTGATGCAGATCAGAGAGGGTCGCTTCCACAGCATGGACCCTGTAAAGGAAGGTCTTGGAGGTCCAAAGTCCTGAAGGACCATCAGAGACGTGGCGGTGGAACAGGAATAGACCACAGACCACTTCTTTCTCTTTCTTTGGCAACATGCTTTTGTCTTATAGCTGTGAAAGTGAAAAAAGACGTGGTAACGCACAATAGCGATGGGGATGGATTGCTTTTTTTAATTCATCATAGTATACATAGTTTTATACTGTAATAGCAGTATATATTTCATAACTTTTTTTGCTCCGTTTCATCACATTAAAAGTCAGTTAACTGGAGTTTTTATCCAAATTGGCTAACATACACTTCCTACTGCAGCGTTCTGGGGTTAAGTTAACTAACCCAAAGACACTTAGTATTCATATAGACTGTAGGAGGTGAGGATCGAACCACTGAACAACAGATTGATAGACTCCTCTTTAGTGGCCATGTCTGTTTCTATTGGAATATACAGATGGAGGCGATTGTATTTAATCATATTAGTGCAAAAAATCCCCTTGTTTATATCTATGAAGGTAAATATTAAAATAGCATGAAAGGTGCCCAAATTAAGTATTCCTCGACAAAACAAGAGACAGGTTGTCCCCCTGTACAGTTTAAGTATCTTCCTCATAAAACATCTTCAAAAAACCTGATCAATTAATATAGATAAGGAGGGGATTTGTTGCAGTTTCACCACTTTGAGTCTGATTAACGTTCAAGAGGGACGTTTTGTGTCCACTGTATGTGAGGAACCATTTAGTGGATGCTATTAGGTGGTGTTAGACATGGTGTACTCCATTGTTTAACACCAGGAGAGCATTCATCATTATAGTGGCTTCCATCCATCAGGTTATCTAAGTGTCCTTTTTACCCAGCTGCCTTTGTCTCTCTGGGCCATCAGTCAAACTACTACACACCTTTTCAAGGCTATCAGTTTGAAGGCCTTTTGCTTTCTGCACAATCTCCTGTCTGGTTTACGGCCAGAACAGTAGCTTCTCTTTGTGTTCGCGTGAGCCAATTCAAGGCCAGTGCCTGAAATGCTTCAGTCTTATCTGCTAGCAATACAAAAGCTTTTACACATCTGAGGCCAGATCCACATTAGGGCGACCTTACCGGCATATTAAGTTTGCAATTGAACCGTTTTCAAGGACACTTGGCAGAGCAATATATAGATTATTACTTTCCAGTTCTGTAATAGTGGGAGTAGCTGAGGCCTGAGCTTAAGGGGAGTGAAGCTTTGACCATGTTGCAATATGTCGATCTGCAGGTTTCTCCACATTTTCACATTCTGCTTTCAGACACAACAACACAGTGATACTGTGCATCTCAAACCAAATGTGTCTTTTATTATTGCAATTATATTTCTTGGTATTTAACCATTTGAAATTGTTTAATGAATACTACAATTATTTTTGCTTAGGTATAAATAGGGCTGAACAATTAATCAAAGTTTTATCACAATATGAACTAGTTAAAAGGGAGGCGTTTGGCGCAGTGGGCTAGTGCGTTGGTGTTGGGATCAGGAGAGCACAGGTTCAAACCCCACTGCAGTCAGCATGTCGTTGTGTCCTTGAGACACTTCACCCCAAATTGCTCCTGTGGGGATTGCCCACAGTATTGAGTATGTACGTCATGTGACATGTATCTAATGTAATGTTAAATATTAGGGATGTCCCGATCACCTTTTTTTGCTCCCGATCCGATTCCGATCATTTGATTTTGACAATTTGCCGATACCAATTTTTCCCGATCCGATCTTTATGCAATGCATTAAGAGAAAAAAAAGAAAAAAAGCATTCAAGTTGTCCCTTAAGGTTATTTTTTTATTTAAATTGGATATTCTATCCAACATGGATAAAGCTTCTTTCTTTCACAGCAGCATTGGATCAGTTCAGTTGTGCAGCATTGGATCAAAACAAAATAAAGCTTATCAGTACTCGTTAGCTTACTGCTACAATTAGACACTGCGCCCTGCCCACTCTGTTGCCAGATTTGAGAGAAATAAGCAACCAGGTCTATGAAAACAAGCCCCAAAGAAGCAACACATACATGATGTTGTGTAATTTGAAACCAAAACTAAGGCCTCAGGATAACTTTAAGACTTGAACATGGTCATTTTTGTTTTGTAACATTGAATACAAAATTTAAAAATAAAAAAATAAATAAATATCCCGATCCCCGATTTTTTTCTCCCGATTCCGATCTTTTGAAAATCACGTGATCGGCTCCGATCCCCGATCACGTGATCGGATCGGGACATCTCTAGCAAATATCCAAATCACATTAAGCACAATGTTTCTTACAAAGAGATAGATTTGAAAGGGGGAGATAGGAGGGGGATTGACGCACATAAAGAGACCGACGCCTGATTCAAATCTGGGTCTGCCGCAGTGAGGACTGAGCTCCAGTACATTGAAACCATTTTCTTTTATAAATAATCACAGTCAATAAAACAGCCAAAACAGTTCAGAAAAAGACTTCCCAGTACTGTTATGTCGACAGAAAAATAAACTCTATATAATAAAGTTGTATTACAAACAACTTGTAATGGTATTGAACTATACTTTTTTTTTTTTTCATTAAATGAATGTCAGAGTTATCCCAAAAGCTTAGTTTCAATCAATACCACACCAATTGTAATGTCGTTGTTCTTCTTCTCCTCAGAGATGCTGCAGTTCGTCAGCAACCAGGTGGGGGATTTCCCCGATCTGTTTGAGGATCAGATGGCCTCAGCAGGCTCAGGACAGAGTGGGGGGGCCAACACGGCTCCACGACCTGCCGTTCAAACCCCACAAACCCCCCAAACTCCTCAAACTCCTCAAACTCCTCCAACTCCACAGATTCAACAGACTCCCTCCCCTTTGGTCTACCAGACCTCCACAGTTGGCCTCGCCCCCTCCCAGACTCTCTCTCCTCAGTATCTCCCCCTCACCCNGACCCCCTCCCCCCCAAGCGTCCCCTCTGTGCAGGTACAGGTGACCCGCACCCCCCCTCTCCTCCAGCCACGCCCTCAGATGGTTCAGCCCATCCAGCCTCAGCCCCTACAGACAGCGCAGCCCACCATCCAGGTAACAACTGTCAGTACTCTCATTTTTTCATTCATTCATTTATTCGTTTTTATGAATTTTTTCCTTTAATTATTTAAGTTTTCTGGTTTTATTTATCAATGCATTTAATTATTTTTCATTCATTCATTTATTTGTTTTTAATATTTGTATCCTTTATTTATTCAAGCTTTCTTTTATTTGTATTATTTATTTATTTATTTTTTGAATCATTTATTCGTTATTATTAATTGATTATTATTTTATTATATAGTTTTTATTATATATTTATTCTCTATGTGGAATCAAGCTGAAGGAATAATAATGAATAAAGTGTGAATATGTTTGTACACGTTGCTGAAACTGACAGTTAAAAAATGACATGGGTTATAACTCAGGCAAACTGCTGCTTATTCCCCAAGGGTGCGTTAGTTTTACTCACTGTTATGTGGCGAGCTGAAAGATGTTTTTTGGATCGATGCCTGGGTTTATATAAAGTGCTGCTGTGATAGATCAGTGCTGTAGTTATGAGTCAGCCTGTCTCTCCAGCTGTGATTTGACTGTCTGTCGTGGAGACGGTGTGTTGTTCTTTGTCATTGTGCCAACCGCACTAAAAAGGCTTCTGCTGACGGGAGGAAAACGCTGAGTTCTAACACCAGTAAAATATACTATCCTGCATGCTTAGAAACAGCCTCAGCAGAACTGCAGTCAGCCTGACAAATAAAGTGTATAGCTTCTTTCAGGCACAAAGTCATTCAAGAAGCTTCACTTAGGCATGAACACTTGGAACAAATGAAACGGAACAAGACAAGTCATTCATTTTTAATGCTATTTTCTTTCTATTTCTGAAATATTTTGGACTGTTTATTTCTTGTGTCTTAGTTTCTCTTATGTACATTGCCAAATTGGCATCAATAAAGTCTATCTATCTAAAATGGAAGACGGTGGTTTAAAATCAACATTGGAAATACATTGAAATGTTTAAATGACCTGAGATTACCTTAACTACAAATCTACGGCGCATAGAGACTACCTAAGGTCAACAAATAAATCCAGATGAACTTCCTTGTGATGCAGCAACATTGAATAACTTTTGATATGAAATAACATCTTGACATTAATTTTTTTTTGTGCTTCAATGCAGATGCACACCCAGGGGATCCAGATGCAGACACAGAGCTTCCCGGTGCACACGTTGGTTCAGACCCACAGCCAGACGCCGCTGCCCATCCAGACCCAGGCTCAAACCGTGATGATCGCCTCCAACGGCGGACAGTCGCGCTTCATCCAGAGCCCCGTCATCTGCCACCAGAGCCATAACACTAGTTTCCAAGGTGACAAAAAACGAGATAAGGAGGGTGGTGAACCTGCAAAATAGTTTTCAGTAAAGTTAGGGTTAATAAAGAAGGGTTGACGTGTTTTTGTAGACGGACCTAGGAGATGGCACCCTCTACTTGGGGAAAGCATCGCTGTATCACCGTCCTTGTGTATACCAGACGGCGTTTTGTCATCGCCAAGTTCACTCCACCTTTTGGGAGATAACAACAGAAGATCCCGTAGATGTCAAGTACATTTGACAATGACATCTTATGAGAAATGTCATCATAGTATTCTGCGACCAATCTACTCATAAATTAGGACTAAGACATTAAAGTTAAAGCATTTTGACTGGATGGATTTTTATTTTGAACAGTATTTCCTCTCTCTCTCTTTTGATTCCAAACCTTAATCTCTGGCTCTACCATATTTTTCCATCTGTGTCTTAGAGTCCCATATTTTCTGATGTAAAAACAAATTGCTGCCTAGTAAGCTGGTTCGACTCCCGAGCCGGCTGAATATTTCAGGCGATGTCCTCCCCCCTCTATCTCCCCCTTTCACTCTCAGATCTCCAAAAAAGGCCCTCTGGCCCCAAAACGTCCTTAAAAAAAAATTGCTTTGACATCTTTAGGGTCTTCTGCTTTGTATCCCTCAGAAGGGGACATCCTGGCGATGAACCGATGCCAGTCTGGTCTGTATGGTAGGCATTACGGTAAGAGTGTAAGAACTGAGTGCAAACAATAAAAGCCACCTTCCATAAATCAGTCAGTATGTCAGTTATAAATAAACAATATATGTATAAGAAAAATAGTTTTCAATTATGTGAATAATGAAGGAATCTTATGTATAAAAAAAGACATTTCCCAATCTGACTTCAAAATGACAGTTAACCTATAAGTTCACTATAATTATCATGCTGGTATGATCATAAACATCATAGTGTTAAATCAAACCGTTTTGTTATTTCCGTGAAGATATGGAGAGATACGCAATAATATGTTTTTTCTTAGAATCTGCAGAGTATTTTTGAATAATCTATAATCTATTTTCCCATTTCCAGTCCTCCAACCACAGATGCAGAGCATAATGACATCACCACAGCTCCAACCAATGACCATTCAGCACCAGCGCGTCCTGACCCCCACCTGTCAGACCATCCAGACGCTCTCTGCTGCGCCCACCACAGTGCACGCCATGCAGCAGCTACCTGTGAGTATCACCACTGAATTTAGAATCAGTGTTTTCATCTTTAGGAAATGAGGCAATATGGTGTGTTTTTTAGCTGATATTTGGTTAGAAAATATCAATATTTCTAACTATCTTATCCTTGTTAGTGCAAAAGATATCTCATACACAAATCATTGTTGCTGTGTAGAGGCACAGGAGATCTTAGTGCCAGAGTTTTGACCTTTTAAACATCTTGTATACAAATATAAATACCTTGCATTGACATTTGCACGTCGTCATTCCAACGTATTACATACAGAAGGATGAGTGAGGCAGTAATATTCATATAATGAGCGCTTTGAGCACCAGGAAAAGCGCTATATAAATAACATGTATTATTATTATCTTGTTTTCAAAGCCCTAAATGGGCTGGCTCCGGCTTATATCACAATCAGAATACCTTTATTGGTCCCACAGAGGGGACATTTGCATCGTTACAGCAGGAAAGAGCCACAGACAGCTTAATGTTACCTATGTTAAGAAAAAAGTACTAAGTTATGATATAATAAAAATATAATGTAAAAAATAAAAGTAAAAGAAAAATACTTTCCAAAATACAAATCCTGTAACAGTTCTTAGGATTTAGCAGCCAGGTATATGTTACACAGTTATTAATGGCATGTGTATATAATGTATATATTGCACATAGTTTGATGGTATTTAACAGCAACAAGTTACACAATTTACAAAATGCAAAAAACACACCTTGTAACGGTTCTAAGGATTTAGCAGCCAGGTATAAATTACAGTTATTAACAGCATATATATATATATAGCACATATTGCACATATTGCACATAGTTGATTGGTATTTAGCACCAAGGAGGTGATATTAGTCTGTGTTGTGATTAGTGATGGGAATCACGGCTCTTTGAAGGGAGCCAGATCTTATGGCTCCGTTCCTTTTCGAGAGCCGTTCAAAAGAGCCGTTTTTTTGTAAGGGGGCGGGGTTAAAAGGTTTATCTGTGAAATAATCACCAGGATAATGATTGACTGTATTGCCAGAAATCTGCTTTTACTCACAGAACAATGTATAACTTGCTACATCTCTCAGCCAGCCGAACTACTACTCGAGCAGCATGCGTTATGCCATCCTCTACGGCACATGTGCATTCAGGAAAGCAAGTTCCCGTCAAATCGAGCTGATTCATGGCAGGCAGTGAACCAGCGATAAAAAGAACGGCTCTCACCAAGCACGACTCGGTTCCCGTCGTTCGTACCAAAGAGCCGTTCAAAAGAATAACATCACTAACATGTATATTGATCGCTAAATGTTTATTACCACTTAGATCCAGATGCCTATTGACATCTTCATGAGCCATGACTGGCCTCGTGGGATCTACCGCCATGGAAGTACGGGGGAGTTGTTGAGGAAGAAGAAGTTTCTGCGTCAGGAAGTGGAGTCCAACACTTTGGGGAGTCCTGCTGCGGAGGAGCTGCTGGCTCACCTGCAGCCCAACTACTGGTTCTCTGCTCACCTGCATGTGAAGTTTGCTGCCGTTATGCAGCATCCGGTGAGAGAGACAGGTTTCCTGCAGCTGGATGAATTGCTGCTATTGTCCGTATTAGCTGTTGATACATTTTGGCTTGTGATAATCCAAACATCCAGGTTAACAGACCATAAAACGAAAAGTATGGAGGAGCAACTTTTGTATGCCTTAAAGTTCTGGGGCAGACTCATCCTAAATAAGACTCAGAACATGTTTCCTTTGAATTAGTTCCACAGGTTTACTGCAGCTAGATGAATTGCTTCTATTGTCACTGTTAACTGTTGATACTTTTAACATAGTGATTTGAATAAGTGCAAAAGTAAACAATGCAGCAGAACAAGAAAGATAAGGAATATATTACAAACAGTTTT